CCCCTCTCACCCCAGCGCCCCTGCTCCCACAGGCAGACGTCAGGAGCTGGATGTAGCCCCATTGCTCCAGAGAGGAGCATGAGCAGCTTCCAGCCCCAGCACTCACGGGGCGGGTGTGATGCCGAGGTCCACATCGACGCTCAGCCGCAGCCCGGAGTCGGGGACGAGGGACAGGGACAGCTCAGTGACCTTGACAGAGGTGATCTGGGTCCTGCTGGAGCAGAAAGGAAGGTGTCAGGAGAGCAGCCCGGGCTGCTGGGCAGTCCCTGTCTGCTCTCAGAGCAGGCAAACCCCATGGGATGCTCATGGATAAATCAGTGCCCTCAGAGCCCACTGGAGGAGCCAGGAGCTCATTTCTAAACCCCTCTGGCAGAGCTGAGCTGGTCTCCAGGAGCATTTTTGCCCTCACTGGCAAAACACCTCTTGGGAAGATACCATCAGAACACCAGCACGAAGCAGGGCTATGGCAGCAAAGGCAGAGCCACGGACTCACCTGCTGGGCTTCGTGGAGCCTACCAGCGGGTCGGGGTCTGTGGGAGCCATTAGGTCCTGCCTGAGGACTGTCTCGGCGTGTGGCCTTGAAACTTCAGCGACTGTGAAACAGGGCACATGTTTTATGAGACCCTCTGGGGGCTGTGGGCAGACGGACAGGCTGAAATCCACGGGGTGACACGCTTCCTTCCCTTACTAACCCCCCCTGTTACTAGCTATGAGAGAGGATGTTGAAAGAGAGCTGATTATCGGCAGAGGTTTGGGGTCTCATCATCGGCCTGAAAGATGCTGCTGCCTCCCCTCCCTGCTCACAGGGGCCCAGACTTACAGTAGCTCAGTCCTAACGGGGTGAGGATGCCCCCGCAGTCGGGTGACCGGGTGCTGTGCACGGAGACCAGGAGGCTCAGGAGGATGCTCAGGGTGCGGAGCTTCGCCATGCCGGTGCCTGGAAGAGGAGAACATCCCCAGCATCCCTGTGAGAGCAGCCTGGAGCCATGGATCCACTGCTGGGGTCAGGTTTGTGGTCCTGAGCTTGGCAGCATTTGTGCAATAACAACGCGTGGCTCTCGTGCTGCCTGGGATCAGAGAGCACCATGAGAAGGCTCAGCCCTGAAACCCCCTGCCAGTCTGTGCGCTGGGGTGGTGCTCACAGCGGTGTTGTGCCTGCTGAAGAGCTCACAATGACCCACTGCTGCATAAAGGTACATAAAGAGGAGCTGAAATGACCTGAGGAATGAATGGAAGTTATGGAGAAGGTAAAATCGAACAAAAAGGCGAGTGTGTTATCTCCTCTCTGCAAAACCTCTGGGAGCTGTTTAGCATGCCTGCAATGCTCTTGCAATATTAAAACCCCAGTAATTCAGACAGCTTAGCCTGCAGAAAACATTCGTGTTTATATCAGTCTTTGCAGCAAGTGGATTCTGATGAGAGCTGACCTTACAGAGACACACCGAGGTAAGTACAGGCAATGCCCACGTCAAGCTATGCGGTTTGCAAAAGCATCTTTACCTTTCCTGGCCATCCTTCCCATCCTTCTGCCTCAGTCCGTGTCTTGCTGTGGCCACACTAAGGAACGGCGCTGGTGTTATATACCCTCACACACGAGGCTGGTGGGGCAGGAGCTGGAAACCGGGACATGGGGAGGATGCTTGTTTTATACATCATTTTTATTGTTTCCCTGCATATTTGATTACTTTGGCTGCTGCCCGAGCGCGGTGAATACTGCACAGCCAGTGCTGGGGCAGCGTGCCTCCATCCGCTCTCACAGAAAGGACTCTGGGTGGAGGTGCCAAGAAACCAACCATTGTTAGAAAGCAGATGTCTGTGGCCGTGCTTTCCTCGCAGGGCAGCCAGCACCATGTCCACACGAGCAAGAAGCTGCTGCAGTTTGTGTCTGTCCTGGCTGGGCAGCTCAGAGCAGAAGGACGAGTCCCATGTGTCCCACTGAGGTTGTGGTGATCCATCAACGGTGCCCTCTGTTCCCATGAGGCCTGGGTAAGTGTTGAAGGCAACAGGAGTGTTTCTGTTGTGTTCAGTGAGTTTCAGACCAGACAGAGGATCAACTTCTTTTAAGGTGTCTCCTGTGATCTCCGGGATGGCCCATGTGCACCAGTTCCTTCCTCTCTTAACCCATTCCCAATCCAAAGCCACTGGCAATATTTGTTACAAGTGGTAGAAAAAGCGGTGAGTGATGCTCACCCTCTTTGATCATGTCTCTACAAGCTGGGAAAGCTGTCATGGAAGGGGGTCAGGGTCCTTCTCCATCTCATGCGTGGGGTCCATCACGTTCTCCTGGCTTCTTTTGGCCTGGAGGATGGAGTGGGGACCTCCTGCAAATGCCATGTAAGCACATCCTCCATGGGCTCAGTCAGCTTTCCTCAGTGCCCCGTGTTCTGACATTGCCCCTGCCCCCAGTACTCCTGATCCCAGCTCTGAGGCATGACCAGTCTTGGGGAGGACTGAGCTGCCCAGTTTGGTCCGGATCCCTTGGCAATGGGATGAGGTGTTCAGAGCTTGTTGAAACACCTGGAGCTCGGGGAGGAAACCATTGTCCTTTGTGCACTGATGGAGTAAGTCACTGGGCGCTGGTTCCAGGTGCATCTTGACATGTTCAGAGCGCTGTGCTGCTTTCCCTCTTGGAATGACACAGAAACACCAGGAGAAGCAGAGTTTCAGCCACGTTGTGCATTCCCACTGAAGGCAGTGTGAAGATGCACATCCAGCAGCCTGCAGGGGAGAGAGAGCAGGGCTTACTCATCCACACTGACCTGTGAAGCCCATTTAGAGCCAGGACATGTGTTACCTTTGAGAAGGCTGTAACCTGCAGATGAGTCCCAAGGTCATCTGTGACTTTGGAAGGGACATGGACACAACCTAGCAAAGTCTCTGGGAGAGAAGTCTTTGCTGTGTTTTAGAGCAGCAGTTGGAAACTCAACCCTGCTCTGCCTTGTTCCTGCCCAGGTCACATCCGCAGCTCTTCCCAAGCAGTATCAAAGCTTTACCAGTGGAGTGTTCTTACCACTTACAGCAGTGCAAGGGGCTGGGGATAAGCTGCTGGGATGAGATTGTGCCAAGGTGATTAGAGGTAGATTTTCTCCTCCTCAGGAGCTGTTCTGGACCCAGTGATCCCTGTGGAGGCTTAACTAGATGTCAACTTACAGCATAATGATGGATCAAGCTACCAACACAAAAGCGTCTTTCTGGCATGATGCTTTCCTTACTGGGAGTTACCTGTAAATCTGACACTCCTGTTAGATAAGATGTAAATCTCCCTGTCTGGGCTGAGCAGACAGCGAGTGCCTCACTGGAGGGAGGTAACGACAGGTTAAACCTCCTGACATGTCATACAGAAATGAGGAGAAGAAATTCATCACTGCAGGATCCCATTGGGGAGCTCCCAGAGCCGGGTCCTGGGGTGGGTAACAGGAGGGGAGAAGGGAGGACACTGCGGTGGTCACCAGCCCCAGCGCAGGCAGGGAGCTCTTTGTGCATTCAGGCTGTGTTTTGGCCAGTGTGGCTCTGCTGGACTTGCATGGAGCCCTGCTTGCTTTCCTGTGGTGTGATGCAGTGACCCTAATGGTTATCCCCATTTACACCACGTGAAGGGTCCTGCTGGTGCCTGTGTGCTGGAAGGGGAACACGTTAATAAGGATGTTTTATAGGGTACGATGGGGAGCCCTGAGTCCCCTTGCTCTCCAGCACAGGGGGATTTTGTGCTAAACCTTGTGCAAACCTTCCAGCACCCTCCTTTGCTCTGAAGGGGAGAGATGCTCTGCAGAGAATGACAGAGGAAGCTACCAAAACGAAATCCATCAAAGGCGTGTGGGGGTGAGCGATGAGCTACAGCTTCCAGCGCCAGCCTGAAACCGAAGGAGAGCAGCAGAAGGTTGGGAGGTGTCAGCCTGGAGGCAGAAACGAATCACTCCCTGCTAACAAGTGTGATATTAAAGCCGGTGATTTTCTGCATGGCTGTGTCCACAGATACACGCAGAAACTATAACTTACAGGCAACAAAGCGCATCGGCTCCTGCTCCCGTGTGCTGGGGCTGCGGCATCGGCTCTGCAGCACTGCTGGGGTTTGCTCTCCAGCCTGTGGGTGCTGGGTTTGTCAGTGACACCCTGAGGAAACCCCTGGATCTCTGGGGCCTCCATCCCACAGCTTCCCACTGGGGAAAGCAGGAGGTGTCGGAGCCCCAGAACACTCTTTTCCCTATTTTCTTCAAAATTAAGCGGTGTGATTTTGGTGGGAAGAAGCAATTTTCTAAATTAAACAGTAATTTTAAATGGGGAGTTTAAACTAAGGATGGTGATGGCAGTATCAGTGATAGTGACTGATGGAAGCAGCCCGACCTGGCTGCTGTGGGCTCCTTATTCCCAGCTCGTTTTTCCCAGCCCTTTTCCTGTGTTTTTCTGCAGGCTCAAAGTGAAAGACCTCCATCTCCCACTGATACCGCTGCTGCCCTCACTGGGCTCCGGGCTCCTCATGGTGCAAATGAGCATCACTGGGGAAAGGTGAGCTGGGAGAAGGAATCTGCTGCCTGCAGGGAATGCTGCTGGGACGGACTCGGGGGATTGCCCCACTTTGAGCTTTGCTCTGAGCAGCTCTGCAGGAGGGATCACGGGCATTGCCCTGGCTGCAAGCCTGCGGCTGGATGTGGCAGGACCCCACGGGCACCCCCAGGCTCTGCTGCAGGAGCTGCCACATCCGAGTGGAAACCAAGCTCCCAGGGGACGGCGGCCCTGCTGTGTCAGTACCAATAGCTCCTACGGGGCAGTGACAGCGTTGTTGAGCCTGCCAGCCTCCAGGTTTGCTTCCCTGCAGAACACAAACACTTTTCACTGTTCCTTTTTTTCCACTAAGAAAACCAAAATGTTTTATGGACAAATTGAGGCCAGCTCCAGCTGTGCTGTTCCGTGAATGCTCCCCTTTGGCATCAGTCCTCATTTAAGTGCTGCACTCGGGGGATATCAGAGCTTCTTTTAGGCTTGGAAACCTTTAGCTCTCTTTAAAGCCAGAAGATGGCATTCTTGAGAAAAGGTTTGTAAAGAGGGAAAACATCTTTTATTAGACACTGGGCATGTTTTGTCCTAACCCGCACCAGACGGGTTTGTTTAGCACTTGCCTTTCTTGCCTTTTGATCTCTAGTAAATAATGACTGCTATGTGCATAGCGGTGGGTGTGTTTCCTCTGCCCAGATTGCAATACGAAGGCAGGAGCAAGATTGTGGACAGCATCCTTCAGAAAGTGCTGTCAGGTCTGGTAAGTCCGATCCTCCCATCCTTGTTTCTCGGTGATCATCTCCTCCTCCTCCTCCTCCCCACTGAGCTGTAATGGGTTTCACAGTTTTGCTACACAGAGGAGCCTGCAGGCTGCTAAAAGGGAGCATTTTGAGCAATTCCTGGTTTTATGCAGCCAACAGCCACAGCGAAGGCGCTGTCACTGCCTAAAGCCTCCTCATCCCAGCCTGCGGCGAGGGATGTGATGCTCGGGCAGAGCTGGTTGTGATGCTGAGCACGCTTGCTCCTGGAGGCTTGTCGAAGGACAGACCTGCAGCCTCCTACCACATGTCATAGCGTTGGTCTGGTTCAGTCAGACAGCTGGGGGGGTCTGGCCTTGCTCTTTGCTCAGCTCCAGGCAGGTTTATTCAACCTGCAAGGCCCACAGCAACGGCTGCAGAGGCAGCAGGGAGGGTGCTGGGCTGCCCAGGGTGATTCTTCCCCTTTCCTTCACTTCTCAATTGTTTGACTCCACAAGCTGAAATAAAAAGACCCCATCACCCCATAGGAGAGGGGTGCAGGAAGGGACCCCCATGCTCCCGTGCGGTCAGAGATGAGGCTGTGTCTGCAGCCCTGTGAGGGATGAGGGCTTTGCATGATTTAGAGCCGAGTGTTTAGACATCTCCACGTGTGTTTCCATCTTTCAGAGGAGCCCAGCACCGGGGTTTATCAGCTGCAGCACAGATATGGATCCCTGGCGTACAGTTCATTGACTGCTGCATTATTACCTGTCATTAGGAGGTCAATAAACAGCTTTGATCCTGGTCTCCTGGAGCCAGCAGCATTGGAACGTTTTCTCCCGGTGGCAGGAGCTGGTGAGGAGCTGAGGGCAGCTTTGGGGGGATCATTGTGTTCCTAAGAAGCTGTCCCCAGGTAGGTCTCTGCATGAGCAGGCTCTGAGCTCCCTTTGTGTTCCTGTGTGTGCTGCCAGCCCCGCAGGCGTCTGCTCCGCAGCGCGTGTAGGGAATTGTCCTCACCAGAGTCCTAAGCAGCGATGGAAGCAGCCACAAAGCCAGCTCCCCGCGAGCACCGGTGCCTGTGGAGCCTTCCCTCCTCATTCCAACACTGCCCGAGCGCAGCAGCTTTCCAAAGAGGTTTCCCCGATGGTGCCGGCGCTTGCTAATAACCAATGGAGCAGTCTGAGCCCGACCTCCCGTGGGAGCAGCACACCATGAACCAAGATCAGTGCCCAGGAGAAACCCAGCCTGGAAACCTCCGGGGGCACCGAGTTCATTTTTCACTTAACCAGGCTGGGAAGCTGTGCTGGCAGTGACTGCTGGTTGATGCCCAGGGGTGCTGGTGGAGGTGCAGGATGTGTGCAGGCGCCAGCACAGTCCCTGGAGCTCTCCCAGCAGTGGGAAATGCACCATTCCCCCCAGTTAATGGTCCCAGAGGCAGGAAAGAGCAAACCATGGCTGCCCTGGCTCAGGGGTCCCCGAAGGGATGGTTTCCTTGGGCAGGAGGGCTGCGTCTGGATGATGCCATCAAGAGCAGAGCAGAGCAGGCTCGTTTCTCAGCCAGGGTTTATACATCTCCCTCTACCTGGCCAGAGCCTCCTGCTCTCTTGCTCATGTCAAGGCCTCCAGCGATTCTCAGGGTATGTCCCTGTTGCTGCCTGCCCTTAGCCCTCAGTTCCCAGGTGTTCTGAGCACCAAAGCAGTGTCTGTCCACGTCAGTCCTATTCTTCTCCCTTTGACCAAGTCCGTTCTGGTTTTACTGTGTTTCCGTTCTCACACAGTGACTTGGCTTCGTGTTCTCGGGGCTTTGAAAGTCGCTTTAGTGAGACCTGGGCATCTCAATGCCATCGGGGCCTGGACATCAACGGTGCCATTCTCTTTATGGGAATCTGCTTCAGTTTACCCAAAATATTTTGTTGTCAGAGACCTGTGCATTCAGCAAGAGCTGGGGAGAGGCCAAGTTACTGTCGTGCCTGAAAGGTCACTGCTCAGAAGCTATTCTCCACCATGCCAAGATGCCCCTTCGCTGTGTGCTGACCATTATTAGGTCTGTCTTTATGGTAATTCAGGTTTCTATAGTGACTGCCCAAAGTATAAATTGATACAGGAAGGATGATAACATAATACCAGCTTGTTAACACCCACTTCCACCTTATCAAATGTCATGATCTAGCCATGACAGCAAGGCTTTGTGCGCCTGAGGTGTCTGGCTGATCAGGTTGCAAGGAGAGTGACAACTCCTTAAGTACTTTGGCATCTTTGCCATCCCTTCCTTGGCCTTCAGCTGAGATGTTCTTTAAGGCCGGAATCAGTGTGTGACCAAAGCTGGCTAATCTGCTGGAAACGCGGATTCCCAAGTTTGCAGAACATATTAGCTCCAAGCAAGCATTTTCTGGACTATTATCCTTCAGTGCTGGGGAGCAGCCCTCCCACCCCTGTCCTCAGGGGCACATCAGGGGAGTGAAGAGTTCATGCTGTCCCCTTGATGCATCGTCCCTTCACCTTGGACGGCTTTCACTGACCCGTCACATCAGGATGTGATCCACACATGGGGCCTGTGCTTGTGGTCCTCAGAAGAGGGTTTTCTTTGTCCCGTCCCCAAGAGCTGCTGCTCTGGTGCGGCTCGAGGCAGCAGCTCCACAGCTCCCTGTGAGCAGGTGGTATTTAGGAAGGGAACTGGCAGTAAATGAGCTGTGATGGATCGGCTGGGACACAACTTTCCAGCATGGAAAAACCCTGGCCACAGATCTGAGTGGCAGGGGCCTGGACAGAGCTGTGATGTGGAGGCAGGAGACCCCGGAGCTGCAGCACACGGCTGCATTGGGTGCTGTGGCAGGGAGGCCACCTCTCATTGTGACTCGGTTTTCAGTCAAAACCTCGATTTTATGTAAAACCAAGCATTTTACCAGGGCCCCACCCTTCAGCCGTGTCCACATCTTGACAGCAGCAAGCTCGAAGGGAGGATGTACCAAAGCTGGCAGGGGTGAGCTGGCTGAGTCTGCTGTGCCCCTCCAGGTCATTGCTCAATGATTTACCGGACTCCTGACATCTCTAAGGAAATATTTGCAGTGGAAATCACCAGAAACCATATATTGTTTGTTTTGCTCCCCACCAACTGCCCTGGATGTCCTCAATGACATCACTTGCCTGATGTAAAGCTCTATATATGAAGATGCCTGGTGCGGGTCCCTCTCAGAAGACAGGGACATTGGCTGGAGAGCTTCACACTCTTGAGCTTGGTCAGGTAAGGGTGAGCTTGCTCCTCCAAAAGCATGCTCTTAGCTTCTGCTCTGCAAACCTGAATGCTTCCCAAAGAAGAACTCTCCACGTTCACTTGGGAGTGCTGGTTTTTCAACAAACATTGTTATTCCTACCTGCTGCCTGCCTAAATTATGCTCCAACAAGTAAAGCGTGTGTCAGCTTTTCACTATGCTTTTCCCAAGAACAGACATGCATGCTCTTGCTATTTGCAGTCCTTGAAGAGTAAAAGGGATTTCATGGTCTTCATAAGAAATATTCATTTAAATGATTTTTGTGTAACTCTATTTCAGGTTTTTAGCCAGAGTGAATTAGACCTTTCACACTTGCTTTGATTCCTTTCTGATGTGCTATCTACATTTAAATAGATATGGGGGTGTTCATGAAGATTCTTTATGAATAAAAAGCTACTCCAAGCTGGAGGTCCCTCTGAAATGCTAACGACACTGAAACTTTATCGCTGATTTTCTCTTTCCTACAATCCTCTTCGCCCTCCATGGCCTGTGCTCAGTGCCCCAGCCCTGCACTGACATCCATCACTTTCCAGTTACCAGGACCGAAGATGTCTCCGTTCTGGGCTGTCTTCCTCCTCTGCAGCCTGATGACCCCTTCACAAGGATATAGAATCATGCCCTTGGCTCCGCAGATGCATGTAGATGGTAAGTGTATGGAAGAGACACGGCTCACCTCTTTGTTGAGGCCAGTCCTGCCCTTCCTATCTCTTGACCATGCTCAGAAGCTGGTCCAGACCTGTGCAGCAGTAGAGGCAATGCTGGTAATTTGCCTTTATAAAGCCCTTTGGAGATGGTACTTGAGATACTTCACAGTGGCCACCAGCCCTATCGCTCTAAGGGGGAAATAGAGGGACAGTGGAGGGGAAAGGATCAGCCAGGCTGACACAGACGCTTGTGTTGAGCCCATGACCTCCCATCCTTTGTTTTTCAGATATTAAAGATTCTCTGGCCAAACGTGACGTCCGGAAACCTAAAGGTGGTCTCCTTGGTGGCAACCTGCTCGGTGGTCTCCTTGGAAAAGATGGTCCTCTTGGCAAAGTCCTTGGAAAAGATGGTGCTGTTGGTGGTCTCCTTGGAGGAAATGGTCTCCTTGGTGGTGTCCTTGGGCAAGATGGTCTCCTCGGAGGAGAAGGCCTCCTTGGTGGTGTCCTTGGACAAGATGGTCTCCTCGGAGGAGATGGTCTCCTTGGTGGTGTCCTTGGACAAGATGGTCTCCTTGGAGGAGATGGTCTCCTTGGTGGTGTCCTTGGACAAGATGGTCTCCTTGGAGGAGAAGGCCTCCTTGGTGGTGTCCTTGGACAAGGTGGTCTCCTTGGAGGAGATGGTCTCCTTGGGGGTGTCCTTGGACAAGATGGAGTCCTTGGAGGTCTCCTTGGTAAAGATGGTGTCCTTGGAGGTCTCCTTGGCAAAGATGGTGTTGTTGATGGTCTCCTTGGCAAAGATGGTCTTGTTGATGGTCTCCTTGATGCTGTCCTTAACATTCTTTTTGGCGAAGGTGGTCTCCTTGGCAAAAATGGTCTCGTTGGCAATCTTCTTGGTGGAAATGGTGATCTCACAGGGTGAGTGAAAGTGGGAGACGGGTGTCCCTCTGCAGCCCTCCCTGTGTCTGGACCACACTGGGGAAAGGAGGCTCTGGAGCCTAATACGTGCCCCCCCCCACCTCCCCGGGGCAGGTCCACAGGGGAGGGTTCAGCTGCTGGGAGTTTCTGTAGGTGCCATCCAGCTGCTCCTGGCTGGGGGGTCCCCACTGGCCCAGGGTGGGGAGGATCCAAGGTCGTGGCTCTGGCAGCGGCCGCAGCACTGGGGCATCGCTGCACAACCGCGCTCTTCCTGTCCCACCGCCAGGCTCAGGATCCTCAACAACACCCTCCCCAGAATAAGCCTGCGCTCGCTGCCCGGCTTTGGGCACCAGGTGGACTTCAACACCCGGCTGCTGATAGACAGCTCCAGGTACAGAGCACCCATGGGGGCACGGCTCAGGGGGGGCTCCGGTGGGCAGCCTGTCCCTGAGCCGCGCTCTGCTCCCCGTGCAGCATCCCGGGCTTGCCGCGCTGCGTGCAGGTGGAAGCAGATGTGGGTGCACTGGTCCAGGACAAGTGGGCAGCCCCCCAGAGCACCCAGGAATGCCAGACTGTTGACGTAAACGTCAGTGTGAGGTAGGCACCAGCATCCGGTACCATCCACGGGCGGTCATGGGAAACCTTGGTGCTGCTGGGGTTGCAGGCAGGGCTTTTGTGCCTGATGCATCCTCAGGGGCTGAGCCCCCCCGGTTACTGCTCTTGGAGGGGAACTGCTGAGCTTTCTTCTGAAGTCTGGGTTAAAGAAAGAGTATTTGTGGGCTGTGCTGGGAACCAAGCACTGGGCCGGATTCAGAGGGCTGGGGTTTGGTGATGTTTTGGCTCTAAATACGTAACTGAATTTGGCACTGAATATGGTGAGGCCTCCTCTTTCTCTGGTGCAAAGTACTTTTATCTTCCAGCCATTAATCTGCATCACGTTTTGTTTCCTATTTTCCTGTTCCCAGCCCCAAAGTGCCTGTCCTGGATGAGGCTCTAAAACGCTTCCTCAGTGATGTGCTGCGGGAGATGGTAAGGCTGCAGAGCGACCTCTCTGGGAGCTCGGCACAGGCAGGTCCAGGCTGTGCCATGGCAGTGCCTGTTTGCACAGCTGCAGGCTCAGTGCAGGGTCAGCCCGTCCTCACACCCATGGGCACCGGGACTGCACCGCCTTAGGGTCACAGCGAGCAAACCGTGGAGCCAGAGACCCCGGTTCCAAGGGGCTGCTGCAGTAATGGGGTCCCACCAAACCCTGCCCCGCAGAGGCTCCTGCCACCCCATGCCCCCCAGTAGAGGCAGATTGCCTTGGTGTGATCATGCACCCTGTTATGGGTCACAGAATCATGGAATGGTTTGGTCTGGAGGGACCTTAAAGCTCCTCCAGCTCCAACCTCTGTAAAGGGCAGGGACCCCTTCCCCTGGAGCAGCTTGCTCCAAGCCCCTGTGTCCAACCTGGCCTTGAGCACTGCCAGGGATGGGGCAGCCACAGCTTCTCCGGGCACCCTGTGCCAGCGCCTCAGCACCCTCACAGGGAAGGATGTTTTGATGCTCCTTTCCCTCCTCAGGGGTGCAACATCATCAACACCAGGCTCAGTGTGGTGAGCTCGCTGCTCGGCTCCAGGACCCGTAAGTGCTGCCCCCTCCTTGTCCTCTCCTCCTGTGCCAGGTCCCGCACTCGGGGTTGGTTGGTTTAACCTGGGGCAAACACAGATATTTAACAACGTTCTAAACTCGAATCAAGCACGGTTCCAGTTGCCCTCACTCAGCGCAGCAGCACAGTTTTTCCCACAGAAAAGCACTTCAGGAACTGTTGCTTCCAGCAGCACCATTCCTGTGCTTTCTGGCAGCCCAGCCAGTCCAGGCATCTTTTGGGACCACGGGATTTGGGAGCATCCCCCTCCCTTTGCAGCTTAACAGCTCTCCTCCCTCTGTCCCACAGCCGCGCTCCCACTGGGGGCTCTGGGAGATCTGCCCAACTTCTCCATCCTCGGTGCTGACACCATCCAGCTGGATCTCGATGTAAGTGCCCACTGCCCTGGCCAAACCCCCCTGGCCTGGGGAGCTGCAGCAGTTCATCTCAGTACGGTGCCTGGTTCCCTTGGTCCCTTCCTTATCCTTTCACTTGCTAATCCTGGAGGGTAGCAGGAGCCAGGGAGCTGACACTGCTGAATCCACATAATTACAGCTCTCTCATAGCTGTTAACCAGGAGAGCTCAGTTCAGAGCCCAGGAGCACGTTCATTTATAAGCGGGTTTAAAGTCTGATGTGTCACTGATAGGGACCATATGAGACCAATACTATGGGCTGTGTCTCTCTGACCAGGAGACGTGGCAGTGTTTCAAAGGGAAAGCTGTGGCAGATGCAGCCGTGGCCTGTGCTAGGACATTCGAAGCAGCCCTACCTGTATTCAAGAGTTCATTCACCCCATGTGTTCCTCTCCTCGAGGTCCATGGTGGGCAGGATGCCCACTGTGAGCCCCACCAATGTCCCTTCCCGCTCTGTCCCCTGCAGCTCCCTGTCGGGGACACGGAGGGTGCTGTGGGGGCCCCCACCACGCAGGGACCCCCCCTCACTGCCAACCTGCTGCTGGCCACCAGGCGCCCGCCTCAGCTCAGCCTGTCCCAACGTGCCCTCGGCGTCCTGCTGGAGCTGGCCCAGGAGCAGGGAGCCTTCAACCGCAGCATCACCAGCTCCATGGTGGGTTCCTGTGCCCCTCTCTGCGGCTGGGTCAGGGTCCCGGTCACCCTGGGGGGACCCAAGGGTGCTCGCCATGGGTGCTTGTCTTTGTGTGGTCCAGCTCTTTGCACAAAGCCTCCTGGTCACCGGTGCTGTTCCTGCAGGTGCCCAATAGCATCTCGCTGTCCACATCTGCCCTCCTCCCGCTCATCCCCCAGGTCAGTCGCCTCCTTCCACCCCACCTCCCAGCCACCCATGCACAGACCCCTGCCCTGACCCCCCTGCCCCCTGCAGCTCGCCAAGGTCCTCCCCGGCTCCCTGCCCCTGGAGCTGCGCGTGCGGGTGGCCAACGAGCCAGTGGTCACCGTGAGGGATGGGAAAGCCACCGCCACCCTCAAAGCCTCCATCGACGTCCTCAGCCCTGCCCTGCAGTCTGCCCAGAAGCTGCTCTTCTCCCTGGATGCGGTGAGTGGGTCCCAGGCTGATTGCTCTGGGTCAGGGCAAGGGCTGACACTGGCAGTTCTCTGGCATCCCCTCGGCTTGTCCTGCCCTTGTGGGTTTGAATTTAGCTCATCTTGGGAACGGTGGTGCCCAGTGCTTTAAAACTGCTCAGAGCTGAGCGCAAGTGAAGTGTTTAAGGCATAACACAAAATAGAGACAGGAAGGGTGAACCCTGGGGAGAAATGCACCATGCCATCCATCAACAAAATGTGACTTGTAGGCCCAGGCAGGTATTTTCCCTCAGGATGGGTTATTTACACATACTGTGAGTTTTCATTGCTGGTGATAACCTCATTTCTTCCACTGTTCCAATCTCAGGACATCGTTCTGAGCATCACCCCATCAGTCTCCGACGGCAAACTCCAAATGTCTGTGGCTCTGGACAGGTAGAGCTGAGCTCTGGGGCTGCTGCAGGCTGGGGGGGCTCTGCCTGGGGACGCTGCAGAGCCTGGTGGGAGGTACCAGTGGTTGGGAGGGTGATGGAGAGATGCAGAGATGTGAAGGAGGGCAGCCCCGATGCACCCCAACTCTGCCTTGCTTCTGTCTTTTGTAGCATCAGCCTGACACGGACACCCCTGAGACTTGACCCTCTCAGTGTAAGTGCACGGTGCTTTGGATGGAGGCAGGGCCACAAGCACTCAATGACCATGGGCTGTGTAGGGAGGGAGAACCATGTCAATTCCTCAATCTTCATGTTCCTTCTCATGGTAGAGGCCAGCTGCTGCCTACCCTGTCCATCCCATGTACCCTACAGCGGTGACACTGGGTGTATGTGCTTGCTTGTTGGCTGCACACTGGGGGTGCTGGGAAGGGGGGGAGGAATAATCGAGAAGAAATTACCCCAAAAGCACATCCCTCCATAACCCCCACCCTCAGTCCTGGAAGAGCTTCACTGACGGAAGCTTCCCAGCGTTTGATTTCACAGCTCAGAGCATCCTGCAGGGACAGACTGTGATTGATAACCCAGATGTGGCTGGTTCCATCCCAACAACCATTGTTCTCTTCTCCTGATACTGACATAACTCCCTTCTTCCTTTGCAGGTCTCCCCACTTGCAGGATGGCTCAAGAGAGTCCTCACCGCTGCGTATTTACCTGCTGTCACTGGTATGGCCACGTCCAGCTCCCTGTTCTCTCAGACTCAGCTGGATTTGGGGCTCTCTCCCTCCCCTCTCTTCCACCTTTGGGGTGTCCCCCCCATGATGAGGTCCTTCCACTTGCTTCTGCAGATGCATTGAGTGTGTCGGTCCCTCTGCCCAAAGTTCCCAACATCAGCCTCAGGAACGCCAAGGTTGACATCACCGACGTAAGGATCCCGCATCCCACAGCGATGCCTTCCCGGGGAGCTGGGGATGCGCCCGCCCGGGGCAGGGACCTGCCGAGCCCAAACCACGCGCCCCGGCCAGCCCTGCTTCCCATGGGCAGCTCCCGCGTTCCAGGAGGTCCCACAGGAAAACCTCACCTGGGGAAGGGGGGAGAGCTGGTGAAATGTGAATGTGGGAATTGAGGGGTTTGTGCTGCTTCTTGCAGGCAGACAGCTCTGCCGACCAGACCCGTCTGGACGATTCCTGCCCCAACGGACCCTTGTCCCTGCTCCCCTTCTGAGGCCGACAGCACCCCATCAGCTCCAGCCCCCTGCTTGTCTCCATGTTCCCTTGAGCACTGCCCTGGGTCGTTGCTGCGCCCCAAGGGGGACGTGCAGCCAACTCCAGCCAGTGGGTCCTCCATAGCCTGGCATCAGGGTAGGGACAACTGCTCTGCTGGTGGATGCCGGGGGGTCTGCGGCCGCTTTTGACATCCCCGGTGGGGAAGCAGAGCTCCGCCTTGCCTGTGAGGGCCGCTCTCGGACCGCTCTTCCAATAAAGCCTTCCTCTGCCTCACGTTCCTCTCTCCGCGGGTTTGTTCCCACGCCGTCTCACTGTGCCCCGTGGCAGCGGGCGGGCACCGCAGCGGGAGGAGGCGGCCGTGCCCAGGGCAGGAGCCGGCACCGGGCTCCGGGGCTCGGGCTGCGGCGCAAGGCGTGGAGGGGGTGCTGGGGGGTCCCTGCCCGGCTGGGAGCTGCGGGTGCCCTCACAGCGCGGGGCGAGCAAGGGGCTGCTGACATCGCCCGCTTGGAGCCCGTGTTGCAGCCGCTGCAGGGGCCGCAGCTCCCGCCTAGGGCTTGTTTGCAGCACGTCCCCCATGGAGCCATTGTGCGAGGCTCCGCACGGGGCCAGGCCAGGTAAAACGAGCTCACACAGCCCCATCAGCTGCTCGTTTAGGAGCTCATTATCACCTTGTTATCGCCTTGTTATCACCTGCACCAGGCTGATTGCCGCACCTTGTGTCTCACAAAGGTATTAAGTGTCGAGGAGAGCAGGACAGAAACACCCTCATGGCCTGGAGCTGGCACAGCACCGTGTTCCCCCCGGGCTGTGGAAATCCCCTCTGCTGGGGAAGGGTGGGATTATTCCCAGGGGCCGCTCCTGGGGTCAGCACTAAAGGAGATTAAAACCCCCTGGTGCTTTGCTAAAGTACCCCAGGCTCTCTCTGGGAGCTTAACATTACCCTGGTACCGTGGTGTGTGTGAGACACCCTGTCTGTGGGTGCTGGGCACGCTGCGTGTGGGTGTCAGCAGGGATTTGTCTGGAATAAGCAGGATCCATCACGGATCTTGGGGCCATGCAGCCCGCAGGGTCTCAGGCTTCTCCTTTGCTTTAGCTCTTGGGTAACAGCACTACCCGATGCCTGGGTGTCCTGTAACCTGCTCAAAGCTTTTCCCTGTTTGACAAATCTTTCTTCACGTTGGAATACATTAAACCCACAAATCCTGTTCTGTACACTCAATCCACCAGCCCAGCTTTTACAGTTTAGGTATCTTTATTTCTCCATTACCTTTGCTATATAAGGACCTGAGGTTCCTCCCGGTTAAAGCAGGGGTGCCTCTGGACAGAGCAAAGTCTGTCCCTGACCAGAAGCTGAGCACTGAGGACCAAAGCCAGGCTTCGGAATCCAGGATAAAGCCAGGTGAGTAAAGATGGTCAAACCAGTGGTACAGGGTGCTGTAAGCTTGGGGAGGCAGAGCCACCATTTTACCTGCCAGCCCTGCAATGTGCTCTGGTGAGCAAGAATATGGGAGTAACTCCAGTCATGGTAGACATGCAGGTACTAATTCTGGTTTATATTTAGTGAGTAGCCTGAAAAATCAGAACAAAGGTTGCTATAGTAAAATGAAACCCTTCTCTGAAGAAGAACCATATACATTTGACACAAAAAGTTAACCCTTTTAAGGTTGTTAGTATGATTTCTATGGATGCAAGGTTCAAACAGGCCATCTTAAAGAGAAAGGCTTTATTCCAATGCGAGTTTCTTGTAGCACTGCAGCATTCAATTGCACAGCTACTCATAGGGGGGATACTAGCGGGGGCAGCTCAGTGTGGTCCAGTGATGGGTAACGGTTTCACACGGTAAGTTGAAAATGCTGTGGGGGGTGCCCAGGAGCAGGAATAAGCAGACAGACACTGAAGTGGTGCAGAAGCTGCCTTCTGCATAAGGACATGCTCCTCTTCCCCCTTTCTGTGTGTGTCCAGGGCTGGTTGCTGAATGCAGCTCTAACTCGGAGCTGCTTTGGTTCTCCTCAAGCTCCCGGTTTCAGTCACTGAAGAACTTCACCCAGATGGAAACATCCGACTCACCTCCAGCCTGCTTCCACCCCTTTCCCAACCAGGTCCTGCCGCAGCTCCCAGCCAAGCAGAGGACACCATGGCCCTGGCATTGCCCTCCTGTATGCTCTGCTGACTCCATCTCTAGGCCAGCCTAAAGATGCCATCCCCAGGCTCAGTAAAGGAGTTCTAAGTGATGGTGAGTCCTCTGCCTCCTTGAGGTGGGACCCTGGGGAGCAGGAACCAGCGGTGGTCCCTGGGGGTTGATGGTCTTGTGCCAACGCAGCCTGAGCAATCCATGTGTGAGGTGTGGGCAGGGGGCAGGCAGCTGCCTGCTGGTCCCCACTCAAGGGCAGCAGCAATGGCCGGGGTCAGCTCTGCCTCGTGGGTGATGTTCCAGCCCTTACAGGCTCCCTGCAGCAGAGCAGTGATGTCCTCCAAGGCTCCCTCAGAGAGGTGCTGCTCAGGGGCAGACATCCCAGCACAGATGGAAGTGGGGAGCTGCTGGGTGGCCTCGGAGGAGGTCTCCTTGGTGGTGCTGGTGGCCTGCTTGGTGGCATCACTGCTGGTTTGCTGGGTGGTGGTGGCAGGGGCTGACTGGGGGCTGTTTGTTGGAGGGGGTGATGCTGGCGGTGGCTTGCTGGGTACAGGAGATGCTGGAGGTGCGTATGGGGGTGAGCCCAGAGCCCCCCTCAGGGACTGGCCGGCAGCCGGTGGGGATGCCCCCAGGGATGCCGTCCCCATGGGGGGTGCTGGAGGAGCAATGGATCAAGGACATGTGCTCGGTGATGGAGATCCCCCCAGCACAGTCGGGATCCTTGGTGGCCCCAGTGGCCCCCTTGGCAGTGGAGAGCTGCTCAGCACCGTGAAGGGGCTCACTGGGTAAGGGCAGCACCAGCCAGCGTCCTTGTGTGGGGCCACCTCCATGCTGGTTGTGGGGAGCAGTGGTGATGCTGCAGGAGATGCTCTGGTTTGGAGGTGATGCTTTGAGATAAACGGCTCTGCCATTGCACCACTGGCTGCTAAGAGCCTCTTGAGCCGCACAAGGTCAAGGGAACAGGAGCTGAAAGCAGCTTGCCCATAGAGGGTGCACAGAGCACATCGAGCAAGCGAATGCTCACTGGCTTGCAGCCACCCCGTTTGAGCTCTTATCTGAAGCCCGGCACCAAGCAGAAGCACAAGCAATAATAACACATCCAGAACAAAGCTTCTGGTGGAGCTGGAGAACAACTAAAGCAGGAAACCAACAGAGACAGCTCGGTGTCTGGTCTAAGCACCCCCGAGCAGTGGCTTTGTGTGAGCAGTAACACCGGGGCAAGGGGTGCTGTGCTCAGAGCCCTCACACGCGGTGTCCCCCGCATTGTCCCTGCAGGCTGAGGACCGGGGACCTCACAGTCCCCAGGCTGTCCCTGCGGCTCCTGCCTGGCATCCGCATCCACCTCAGCCTCTACACCCCCGTGGCCCTCAATGGCAAGTGCTGGTGCTGGTGCTGGTGCTGGTGCTGCGGTGGCAGTGCCGGCTGGACCCGGGGCAGCACTGCCATGGGGGTGTCTCCCATGGGAACGCTGCTCCTGTTCCCTGGGAAGCGGCTGCTCCTCCGAAGGTCGCTCCCTTCGCCTTGTGCAGCCTCCTGGGCTTGCTGGATGTCGTGGTGGAAGTGAGCATCACGCCAAGGGCCAGGCTCACCATGAACGGCACCGGCTACCCCAGGCTGGGGATAGAGAGATGCGGCACCCTCCTTGGTGGCATCAAAGACTCCTGCGAGGGTGAGTGAAGGACGTGTCCTCTGCTGGCATGGGCCACCTCACCATTGGCTTTGCTGGCCCCAGCCTGCACCCACACAACAGCAAACACTCGAGGGCACGGCTCTCACTGGTGACAGTCACCCCTGCCCATGTCACAGGGCTGGTGGTGGTGGCCCCTGCATGCTTCATGTAAGTGGACACCTTGTCCAAGGGCTGCACAACCCCACAGTGATCCCAGAGGGACGTTCCTGTCCCATGTGTCACCTTCATGGCTCATTGTCACTGACACTGCACAGCATCTGCGAGATGGGAGCGTGTGGTGTGTACATCATAGAACCCGCTTGGGCTGAGTGTGGTTCTGCTCATTTGAGGAGACTCTACACTAGCAGATAAAAGGCAGCAGTAAATTTCCCACTGGCTATTTTGGGATGCAAATTACACTTATCTCATGCAAATCCAAGCAACCCGAGTCACTTTGCTGCTGCAATTGCCTTGCTCCGGGAGGTCCGTGCTCCGCTCTATTCACAGGGAATGAGCCATTTGCTTTGCAGCAGGATTTTTCATAGTGCTCCTTTATTTTTCCACAGCCTGCTCCCAGTTGTGGATAATTTACTGGCAAGTGTCCTGAGCAGGATTCTTCCTAATCTGGTTGGGATAAAAGTTCCACCCCGGCAAGGAGCAATGAGTGTGCAAAGTGCTCCCGAGGCATCGCTGGTGTCCCAGGATGGGAGCACGGCCATGGTTTGGGGTTACGGGGACACACGCCATGCCTCCAGCTGCTTGGGAGATGCTGCTCCCTCCTCCCAGTGCAGGTCTGCCCAAGTGTTGGGAGCTTCTAAGGATTCCCTGGACCATGCTAGGGGCTCATTGAACCTCTCCTAAAGCCCCAAGCTCTCTGCCGCTGCCCCACATGGGCCCTGGGACCTGCTCCTGTGCCCAAGGGTGAAGGTGCCCAGGGGCAGGTCCGGAGCTGGTGCAGCCCCAGCAGCCCTGGGAGCGCTCCTACCCTCCTGCCTGGTGCTCCCATTCCCAGGCCAAGCGGGGCTGTGAGTCCCTGTCCGGCTCTGGCCATGGGTCAGAGCACAGGAAGGTGCTGTTCAAAACAGACCACAGCCATTGCCGGCCCTCATTTCTCCTGAGCCAGTATCCATCAGCGCTTTGCTTTCTGCAGTGGGTTCTGTGTGCTGCCCAGCCTGCTCCTGTTCTTACATCAAACCCACCGACGGGCGAGGACACCAAGGAGGGATCGGCCCCGCAGGAGGAGCCAGAGGTGAGTGAAACCCAAGCAGTTCCTCTGATGGCCCAGTCCTGCTGCTGCCCCCATCGCTGCAGAGCCATGGCCACGGCCACCCCCAGTGTCCTGCTTCAGGCTGGTGCTGATCTTCAGTTTGTTGTCCTCGACTGAGAACGGGGCCAGCAAAGAGGAGTCCTGGGGTCAGGGGGGGCTCTGCAGGACCCAGCACCAAGCTCAGGGGGTTCATGGAGGTGCCCATGTGCAAGGAGCCGGTGGCTGCTGTGGGTGGCAGCAGGGGCACGGGCACCCATAGGGCCATGGGGACAGCCCCTGGCTCTGCCAGCCGCTGGTCCAGCAGGCCCCCAGCCAGCTCCCGATGGCAGCCTGGAGCTCCATGGAGAGGACATTGCAGTGTTTGCCTTCACGGTTAACTTCATGCTCCTGCAGTGTGCAATCGCTGCACGCATGACCCCGAGCCACCCCCCATGGCGCTTCCTTCACCGGGCACCCACGAGATGCAAACCCCGCGGTGCTCTCCCATGACGGCAGCAGTGGGAGCAGGGAATGCGCTGGGATCTCCCTGAGCTCCCCGCGGCACCCTCGGCACCCATGGCTCAGGTGGCTCAAGGAAACCTTCCCAAACCCAGTATCTCACCCCCAGTACAGGCAGCAGGAGATGCAGCACTCGAGTTACCTACATTCAAGTCTACCTCCAGGAACTGGTGGGTTACCAGGGGAAGGCTGGACGCGGGGTACCCAGTGCTGCCCAGCACGCCCAGGGGCACCGGCACTGGGGGCAGAGGATGGGACTCAGTGACTCCCTGCTGGGCTCAGGTGCAAATCGCCCCTCCTCAGCCCAGCAGCTCTTTTCCTTCCAGAGGAGCCCCAGTTTGCAGGGGTGCTCAGGGCAGAGCTTGGCCCTGGCTCCCTGCACTCTGTGCTGCAGGAGATGCCATCTCCATAAGGAGCAGTGCACGCCACTGCTGTGAATGGAGGGGCCGGCTCACAGCCCCCAGCAGTGCCCACTTACACACCAAGGGGTCCTTCTGTCCATCACTAGAGACAGGGAAAGGGGAGATGAGGGGCCCATGGGGTGAAGTGAGGGGTTTGCAGCAGCAGAGGGGAAAGCATCACAGTCCTCAGGCAGCCAGAGCAGAGGGGACAGAGGGACAGGGCAGGGCATGGACCCACCAGTGCTCCCAGTTCACAAGACCCAGCTGTTGTTGACGAGCCCCAGGGCAATGTTGGCCACTGGGCAGAGCTGCAAGAGTCGGGGGGACAGGGACTCTGCACAGAGGGTTCCAGGGGAACCAAACCCCTTTGCTCCCCCAGGATCTGCTCTTGCTGTCAGTGTGAGCTGGGGACACCGGGCTGCGAAGGGAGCCCTGGGTTTCCCTCTCTGCTCCCGCAGTGATGGGAGCTCAGCCTGCCTAGGGAGGCCCTGCCGCATTGCTCTTCATACCCAGTGCAGTAACTTGGCCTCCTCCATGCAAACACTGCATCCCACCTGCATTGCTGGGAACTGGACCACGGCGGGTTTTGGCTCTGAACGTTGTTTTGACTCCGTTGGGGATGCTCAGAAGGATCCGGGGGTATTTTGTGTTCTCATGCTTGGGTTTAACGAAGTCCATCCCTTTCTGCAGCCACCACGGGTGCTCCAGCCTGTGTGTGGTGGGGGGAGTGTTCCAGTGAACCCCAGGGCTCAGGATGGTGCCCAGTTTATGCCCAGGCTCTTCTCTGCGGTTCAGCTCCTGTTGGAGCAATGAAGCCTTCTCTAATTTAAGGCTCTAAAGCTGCCTATTGCTCTGGAAGGAAAGGGGAATAGCTGGGTCAGGTGTAATATTGCTGCCTTACAGTCTGTCCTGTCCCTGTCCAGTCCAGATCCACCCTGAAAATCACCTGGAAACAGGTTTTTCCTGTCATCTTTCATGCTTTTTCCCCTCTATATTCATTTCCCCATTTTCTATTTGCTGTTTCTCAAGCCTCCTTTAAACTGCTGAGGTTTTTCTTGGAGGCACAACCCATCTCCCGCTCTCCTGTGGGTGACAGGCGGGTTTCACAGCACTGCTGCTATGCCCTAGATCTGCACACTCCTAGTTTGTGATAACTCTTCATTTTAATCTGCCTTGCACTGTTTCTGTATGTAATTAACTCACTGGCTGGCAACTGCTCACCTCTCACTGTCCCTGGTGAATATGATGGAGCATCCCCTGAGCCATTCCTGAGACCCTCTCTTTAGCCAAAGATACAGGAGCATCCCCAGCTCCCCGTGGCATCCCCCTGCACCCCAGGGTTCTGAGGTGGCTCAGGGTAACCGTGATGCTCTAAGGATGCTCAGGGGTCTGCATGCAGAAAGAAGAGGGGGAAGAAGGAGGAATCACAGATTTCCACCTTGATCAGCATCTTTCTGCTTCACTTTGGGAGAGCAAAGCAAGAGAGTCACTGAGTACCCATGAGCAGCTTCTGTGGATCATGTGCAAGGAGCCGCATGGCACTGGGTGGGATGGAGCCTGACCAGAGCATCCCCTGCCTGAGGACACGAGCTCCTGTACCAGCACCCAGGGGTGCATTGCTGCACCCTCACTCCTGGTGCTGCTGCCCTGGTCTCAGGGGGCAGGAGGAGAAGCCCGGGGAGCGGGATGCAGCGCGTCCTGCAGCAGGAGAGCCGGTGGGCACCGCATCCAGCCTGAGCTGCTGGCCAGGGCCCAGCGTGGCTACGTGCAATGTGCGGGGTCAGCCTGGTGCAGGGTTCACACTTCAGAGCCAGCGAGGAGGAACTATCCCGCTTCATCCTTCCCTGGACTTTCCTGGTTCCTGCAGCTCGGGTATATAAGGCTGCTCCTGCCAGGCAGCCCCGCAGAGAGGCCACGGCAGCAGCAGCACTGCAGCAAAGGGCTCCAGGTAAGCGGTGTTGCGGTACAGTGGCCGCAGAGCAACTGCTGCCATTGGGTGACCTGCAGCAAAGTGTGACACGGCTTTAAAAGCAGGAATTTTAATAATGTTTTCCTTTGATTTCTGTAGCAGCATTTAATAATTGATGAGAATTAATTTTTAAAGCCAGCAGAGCTCTTGCTTGTCAAATTCCGTGTTTATTTTTGTTGTTACGTTAGGACTGAGCCCGCAGAAGTGACTGGGGGTTGGTTTCTGCATGCTCTCAGTGACCAGAATTCAGAGCCATTTTCAGCTCATCAGGTCCCATCTGAGCTGCTGTAAAACAAGCCTTCATCTGCAGAGCCACACATGAATTTTGTATGTGCAAGATGTTCAGCTTAAACGTGTGTGACCAAGGAGACAGCAACCTGATAGATACCGTTAATAACTGCAGCGGCAGTTGTGTCCTCTCTAAGAGCTCCTCTGCAAGACCTGAGAGCCATTGGGGGAGCCTCTTGCAATGCTGCACACGTCTTGCAGAGACCCTCCAACAAATCCCCCTGATTTTATTTGACACGGTTTTGAACAGGAGCTGCCCGCGCCTCCCTCCTCCCCTCCTGCTCGATAATCACAGCTGCAGGAGCAGTGCCTCACTGCGTGCTGATCAAAGGGAAAAGCTCAAAGACAGACCAGTGAATTAAAGTCTAATTTAATTGTGCCAAGAACTGTCATGGAGGGATTGTTTCAGAGTACCTGGAGCTCATAGCGCAGTTGTTCACTCTGACCTCAATAGCGACGTTTGAGTGCTGAGGCTCTGCAATCCTTTCCTCACAAGGGAAAGCTGGGACGAGGCCCAGGACATGGGTGCTGCAGGTGGGTGCTCCTGAAACGGGGACCCACAGCGGCGCTTCCCTGGTTTCCTGTTCTCGCTTGTTTGGAAGCACCTTTCTGTGCCTAAACAAACACTCCCCAGTGGTGGCTGCGATCCCAAGGCGCCCAGAACGCAAGGTCCTTGAAGGTGCTTTCTTTTGACTAGAGGCAGATCAAATTCAGGGAAAATGGGTTCTTTTCATAGCCTGAATGGAGCGAGATGAGAAGAGCAAACAACCTGCCCATGGAAAGGGAGCGTGGTCTGGCTGGGCTCTGAGCTTTAATAGCAGTGTTCTTCACAGCAGGGAGAAGGACGCGGCTTTGACACGCACCGTTTTCATCCAGCTGCGTCCCTCTGAGTGCTCCTCTTCCAGGGGTGTTTCGGAGCAGTGGGAAGCCATCCGTCTCTCCATACAAGGTCCTCCTGCCTCATCTCCATCCTCATGCTCTCTTGAAGCGGTGTTTTCCCCCTGCAAGCTTCCCTGCAATGTCAGGCACCAGCTCTGCAGAGGGGTAGCCCATGGGCATGGACAGTGTGGAGCAGCTCGGCACCGTGCTTCGGTGGCTGCCTGATACCCAGGAGCAGTTTGACCTTTCTGGGTGGAAAAAGGGTGCTGTGGATGTGGGCTGGCCCCTGGGGCTGTATGTCCAGGGGGGACCTGCCCCACTGCTTGGGAGCAGCACACGTGAAGGATGCAGAGCCGGACTGGTGCCCAGGCTGTCCATTCCTATGGGATGGGACTGGTGCTTGGGCTGATGTGGGTCTCTCCACAGGTACTGGGTCAGGAGATGCTGCACTTCTGGTGTCTTGTCCTTGCCACGGGCCTCCTGCCCCCCTCCCAGGGCCTCCTCAACCTGGGCAGTGTCCTTGGGCTGAGCCCAGCGCAATCCAATGACGGTGAGCTCTGCGGTGTCCCGTGTGTCCCATGGGAGCACCCTGGCACAGGCGGGAAGTCTGGGGAGTAACTGGGACTTTCTTGTGCAGGTCTGCTTGGAACCGGTCTTGGCAGCAAAGGTCTCCTCGACAAGAAAGGTGGCTTGCTTGGCGGGGGGCTCTTAGGTACCGGCATCCTTGGCACGGGAAGTGCGAGTGGAAAAGAAAGCGGAGGTGCTGGTGATGCAGGAAAAGAACCCAGCAGCTCTGGGCTCCTCGGGACAGGCCTCCTAGGTGAGGAAGGTCCATGGGGCATGGGTGTGCTTGGGAGAGGAGGGCTGCTGGGCGGTGAGAGGCAGGGCAGTAATGGAGGTGTCACTGTTACAGGAGGACAACCTGGCAGCAGCGGTCTGCTCGGCACTGGCATCCTCGGTGGAGACGGAGTCCTTGGCACTGGCATCCTCGGTGGAGACGGAGTCCTTGGCACTGGCATCCTCGGTGGAGAAGGCCTTGGCAATGGTCTCCTCGGCAATGGCCTCCTTGGCAATACAAGCCTTCTTGGACAGAAAGGTTTGCTTGGCACAGGGCTGCTTGGAGAAGGAGGTCTCTTGGGCAATGGAAGTCTCCTTGGTCTCGATGGCGTGCTGGGTGCAGGAGGACTGCTGGGCAGTGGAGTCCCTGGCACACCAACACACTTCTCCTGGTAAGTGGGCCCCGAAGCACAGGGGTGGTGCTCGCTGCAGGGTAACGGATCAGTCCAGGGGATGGGTTTCCCTAAGGGGATGCTCCAGGAGCCAATTCCTCCCTCTTACACCAGCCACCAGTCCTGGGCCCATGTGAGGAGCTGAGATAGGGAAATTCCAACCAAAGACGGGAAAAGTCTTCCCCATGGGAGTGATGTGACACTGATGGGCACCCCGGGAGCTGGGCATGCAGCCCCAAGCAAACTGACCCTGCGTTGAAGTTGTCCCTTCCCCACCGTCACTTTGGGAATACCCCCATAGGTAACAGGTCACACAGTGAAGAGGAGGAGATGGGGCTGTGGGGTGTGCTCCTGCGGACCCTGCCGTCCCAAGGTGGGTTTGCTTTGGTGTCGACCCAGGCTGAAGGTGCTGAACCTCGAGAACGTCCGAGTGTCCTGGAGGGTCCTTCACGGCAGCGAGTTTGTGCTGAACCTGTACTCGAAGCTGGTGCTGCGCTTGCCAGGGTGAGCAGGGCTGGGGGGAGGCAGGGATGTACCCGGGTGCTGGAGGAGCATCCCCAGGCGCTGCTGGCACTAAAGCATCGCCCTGGCCAAGCCAGATCCGGTGGCCTCGGCACAGCCACAGGCAGCTCCAGTTCAGCCCGGTTCAGCCCCAGGCAGCCCCGGTTCCCAAGGTGCTTCCCTGTCCCCCAGGATTTTCCAGTTCCTGAGCGGCTCCTCGGTGGAGACGAACATCACATCCCACATGGCGCTGACCCAGGACACCCCCGGGGACCTCAAGCTGGTGTTTAAGGATTGCAGCAACCTGCTTGTGGGCTTCAACGTCAACCTGCGGAGGGGGTGAGCGTGGGCACGTCCCCCCCGGGCTGGTCTCAATCACTGGGGGCTGATGTGGTTTAGCAGGGATGGATCCATCACGCAGGAGCTCAGCCCAGCCCCTCTGTGCTTTCCTGGGGCTCATCCACGGCCAGTTTGGATGGGGCTTGGAGCAAGCTGCTCCAGTGGAAGGGGTCCCTGCCCCTTCCTTAAAGCTGGAGGAGCTTTAAGGTCCCTCCCAACCCAACCCACTCTGTGGTTCTATGACTATTCTATCCTATGACACAGACATTGATCTATGTGGAGCAATACATGCACTCGGAAATGGTTAAAACAAGAGGCAGCACTCGCAGCTCTTTGCAGGTCTGCAGCGGGGCAGAATTTCAGCCTCAAACCTGGGCACTGATTTCCTCCTTAGCAACCAGATTTGGGAGCCAGGTAGCACAGTCCCCAGCATCAGTAATCCCTGCCGAAGCCTGGGGGAGCTCTGGGCTTGCGGCATCTTTTAACACAGAGACAACGGGTGCTCCCCTCCTGTGCTCAGCGTGGCAGAGCTCGGGTTTGTCTTGATGCCAAGGCCTGGCTTTGAGACCTTCCCCGGCAGTTTCTGTGCTTCCTTCCCTCTCCAGGCTCTTCACCACCATGGTGAGCAACCTGCTCAACAGCTCCCTCCGGTCCCTCATACCCGCCCTGGTGAGTGCCTCCAAGCCCTTCGCTCTCACAAGCTGCACTTACTGCAGCTCTTGCGACAGCTGTGCAGCAGTTACTCACACAGACCCTCTCTATATGCATACATGTGCACACAGAGCCCTTCGCTCTCACAAGCTGCACTTACTGCAGCTCTTGCCACAGCTGTGCAGCAGTTACTCACACAGACCCTCTCTATATGCATACATGTGCATGCAGAGCCCTTCGCTCTCACAAGCTGCACTTACTGCAGCTCTTGCCACAGCTGTGCAGCAGTTACTCACACAGACCCTCTCTATATGCATACATGTGCACGCAGAGCCCTTCGCTCTCACAAGCTGCACTTACTGCAGCTCTTGCCACAGCTGTGCAGCAGTTACTCACAGACCCTCTCTATATGCATACATGTGCACACAGAGCCCTTCGCTCTCAGAAGCTGCACTTACTGCAGCTCTTGCCACAGCTGTGCAGCAGTTACTCACACAGACCCTCTCTATATGCATACATGTGCATGCAGAGCCCTTCGCTCTCAGAAGCTGCACTTACTGCAGCTCTTGCCACAGCTGTGCAGCAGTTACTCACACAGACCCTCTCTATATGCATACATGTGCATGCAGAGCCCTTCGCTCTCACAAGCTGCACTTACTGCAGCTCTTGCCACAGCTGTGCAGCAGTTACTCACAGACCCTCTCTATATGCATACATGTGCACACAGAGCCCTTCGCTCTCAGAAGCTGCACTTACTGCAGCTCTTGCCACAGCTGTGCAGCAGTTACTCACACAGACCCTCTCTATATGCATACATGTGCATGCAGAGCCCTTTGCTCTCAGAAGCTGCACTTACTGCAGCTCTTGCCACAGCTGTGCAGCAGTTACTCACACAGACCCTCTCTATATACATACATGTGCCCGCAGAGCCGCACAGCCACATCCCATAAGTGAGTTCCCAAACCTCCTTGAGCTTTCTTACAGCCTGGAGTTGTTAGCAGCAATGCAAACAGCATTGCTAGTGGAGGGGGTAACCTGCACCCAGTGAATGCTCTGTGACAGGCCGGTTCCGAGGCGCTGAGCGGGGCTGGCAGCCTCGCTTATGGAATAGGGGCTTCTGAGAAAACCCTTTATTGTGTTCAATAGAATCGGTGCCACCTGGAGAAAGGGCTGAGCAATTGATGCTGCTCTTTCCATGGAGGGACCCGTGGAGCCGGTTGTTCCATCCTGAGTTAAACCTCAAGTGAATCTCTATCAGTGGTAGGGAAGTGCATTGCTGCACCCATGGTGTTCTCACCAAGGCTGTGCCACTTGTTCCTTTGCAGCTCTGCCCGCTGGTGAACATCTGGATCAGCATCATCAACATTAAGCTTCAATTCCTCAACCGTAAGTCATTAAATTGCCTTTTCTGCATTAATTTTTAGAGGAACACTTGGGCTCTGTCTCCAGTCACCTCCACAGGCCCTGGGGGCTCGGGAGAGCCGGACCCACTGGAGAAGGGGTTGCTTTGCTTGGCAAAGCTGCTGGGGGGGCACAGTCCTGGCTCATCCCTGGTGCCTGATGTGGCAAAACCATCCTGGCCCTGCTGTCCCCCAGTGCTCAAGGCCAGGTTGGACACAGGGGCTTGGAGCAAGCTGCTCCGGTGGAAGGGGTCCCTGCCTTGGAGCTGGAGGAGCGTTAAGGTCCCTCCGAACCCAAAGCATCCATGGTTCTGTGCTGGGGCCGTGGCTGGGCAGGACTGAGCTCCCCAGCCTCTGGCTCCCGGTAAGCAGCCGCTCTGCCCGGCCCCATTGGCCTCTCCTCAGGTGTTGTCTCCTTTGGGCTCCTGGGGAAAATCCACTCGGCCCTTTCCAGTTTGCCGGTGTCATCCGGGCACTACATGGAGCTGGACCTGCAGGTACGGCCGCGTCCATCCCCAGCCCCCCTGCCCTCCCTCTCCCTCCCCTCTCACACCTTCCTCTCTCCTTGCTTGTGCAGAACCACCCATTCCCAAGCGCCTTCATCGACTGGCTCCTGCAGAGTAAGTCCAGGCACAATGGGATCCCCAGTGCGGGGCAGACAGGGGCAGCAGCCCAGGCTGTGGGGATGCTCAGGGCGATGCAGCCCTGGTGCAGGTAGCGGCCAAGAGCGGGTCCCCATGGGGTGCAGCCGAAGCTTCAGGGTGCTGACACATCACAGGATGGCCCCACAAAGCGCTTCCACCCCGCACAGTGCTGCTGGGGGTGGTTCATGGTCCGCAGTCCTCAGGCCCTCGGTGGCTCCAGGTGTGCGGCTCTGAGACAAAGCCTGTGCTCTCCTGCACAGCCCTGGAACAGTCACTTCACCTCTCATAAGAGGATTTAATAATATTTACTTAATAGGAGTGAATAATGGTCCTCGGGATGCTGCGAGGATTAATTAATATTTGCAGAGGTGATTGGAAGAGCTTTCAGCCTCATATGCATGCAAAGTTAATATATAGAGGAGGGAAGGAAGAGCTGGACGCGGTCCCAGCTTCCCCCGAGGCGTGCTCCTCAGGGCACTAAATCAGCTCTGCCCATGAAGCTGCGGCGGGAGCCGGCCCCACAGATGGGAGCTGTGGGGCTGTGGGGCCGGGGGGCACTGACCTGGCTCCCTCTCCCCAGTCACAGGCATCAATCTCGGGAGCACTCCATAGCCATGGGGCCAGCAGCGCTGTGGGGTAAGGATGGTTTGCTGGGAGCAGGCTCAGAGCCCCGGTGCTGGTGCTGGTGCAGGGGCTGGCTGAGCCGAGCCCTCCAGAGCTGAGCCTGCACTGATGGGGAGCACGGAGCTGCTGCTCCAAGATCCTGGCTGCCCGAAACCTCAGCTCCAGCATCCCCACAGGTACCCCATGGCCGTTCCCCCTGCTCCACCATGGGGAGGAGGAGGAGGGAGGAAGATCACCGGATACATGGAGAATAGACATGGAAATAGAGAAACCCACCCAAGGAACCTCACTGCTTCTTCTGCGTTACGTTCCAGCCTCATCACTCTGATGCCCCTGTCCAGCCCAGGGTCAGTGGTGCCAAGAGTTATCTTTGCTGCTGCTTAGGTGTGCCAAGGCACTGCTACCCCTGGATCCAGGGCAGGAGCCTCAGGCCATGCCCACATTCACTCCCGGTGTCGCAGCCATAAGCCACTCATTAGGGCACCCACTAATGAGGGTACAGCCCAACCCCAGCCCTTCCTCAAGCACCCCACGTTCTGCCTGGCCCCGGGCTGTGGTTTGGGCTGGGAATTGCTCAGCACAGTGGGGCCTTTCCTGGTGCTGGACCAAGACCCCCCTGGATGGCAGTGGGAATGTCACCCCATGCGGCTGCCCCATGGGAACTGTTTGCACCAAATCCCTGTGAAGGGAGAGAAAAGGGACAAGCACCGGCAGCCTGGGGATGCTTTGTCTCTGCTCTCCTGCTCCGTGACCAGTTTACCACTTCAAAAGGGAATGTGGCTGCTTGCAGCGATCTCCTCCTGTTAAAAAGAAGGCAGCAAAAGGCCTAATCCAGCCGGTGCTCGGGGATGCGGTCCCATGCGGCTCTGCTTTGAGGGATCAGAGGAAACGTGATCCTGTCCTGTGATCCGCAAGTGGGGCTGGATGTGGCGCATGGGGGGGAGGCGGATTCACGGCCCTTCTGTAGTCCTTACAATAAAAGGGTTTTCTTCATCTGCATTCCGCACGTGGCCTGGCTCCTTCCCAACCTGCCACCGGGTTCCTGTTTGCAGGGGTTTGGGGTTTACCTCCCCATCAGCCCAGGAGTGACTCCCAGCAAGGAGCACTGAACAGGTACCTCTGCTGGCAAGGTGGGGAGCCACGACCAGGCCAAGCCCTGCTGACCCCCTCCCAGCTGCGGGCACGCAGTGTGGTCCATGGGAGCAGCAACTGCTCCCCTGTTTGTATTTATGCAGGTTCATTCTGCCCTTGTCCCTCAGCCTCTGCTGCTTCATTCCCTGTTCCTGCTCCCCGTGTGCCAGGAGCTGTGGGACACGAACAAACACATCCCTTGTGCCCTGCTGGGGCTGGGGCTGGGGCTGGGGCAGGGACCAGGACCCCAGGGATGCCACACGGCACTGAGCGGTATCAGCCCCTTCCCAGTGCCATGGGGGCTGCACTGCGAAGCACCAACACCCGCCTCTGCCTCTGCCCATCACCGGTCCCTCTGCTCCTGCCCATCCCATGGGCACAGAGGGATCCCTGGAGCAGCATCTCCCCTGCTCCCCGGAACCCCCTGCTCACCCCACATTTACACTCGACTTTGCCACCAGCTGTGGGATTCGGCTCTCCCTCACTGAGGGCGCTCAGCAGCGGAGGTGAACGGAGCAGCAGGGCTGAAGGTGATGGGAAAGGGGCCATGGGGGTGCCCCTGCAGCCGGCACCAGCC